TGCAAATACTTTAGAGAAACTTTTAAGTGTGGGTACTAAATTTTGTGATTTTAGCAGGTGCTGATATCAAAAATTGTGATAAATAACTATTACTACTAATTCTATTGTATAATTAATGATTGCGCATATAGTAATTGCAACTTTAATCCAAAATACAAAATTTGGAATTAATACTAGATCAGACCTGGGGTCAAAATACAATTGTACAAACATATGTAATGTACTGTACATGTGTAGATGGAAGTGTGACAGTCAGGGTTTCCAACTATAGTGCTTAGCTTCTTGTCAGCTCATGAGGTGCAGTAGAGCTTTGTAGAAAACCCTGATCCATGGTATTTTGTCAAAAATGACCAGGAGAAAATTTGCCATTCTCATGTTTATTTCAGATACATAATTATACATATTCTGATGTACATCTAGTTCCAATCTTCATGAATTGCTGAAGTTGCTCAAAAATCTGGCTCAAGGCTTGTCAAAAATGGCTAGAAGAAACTTCCTTTTTCATAATTTATTCTAATGCACATACATGTACTTCTGTTGTGAAGAAAATTTGAGTCATTTTTCAGTTCCCTAAAAGGCATCATGCACTGTAGTGCAGTGCTACTTAATATGCTTTGTAGAAAATCCTGATGACAATATGCATAATGGCTGAATTGCAACCAGTGCTTCTACAGTTCAACAGCAATCACAATCTCCCAAACCAGTAACTTCTCATTTTTAAAAGCAAGCCATGTTTCTGTTTCACGCAAAAACAGCAGCTGTAATTGAAATTACTTTAACATGACATAATTTTAATTCTAATTGGGTCTATGTTTACAAAAGAAGTGTAATTTGAATGCGTAATTGAGGTTTTTATTTGCCCCCAGGTCTGTACTACATATATCAAATTAATGATAATTTAAATAAAAATAATCTTACGGTTTCTTGCTATCATTCACATCGCAGTACTGAACGTAAGTATGAATAAACTCAAATAACATTTCTAACAAATAATCAAGGTCCGAAACTTTATGAGCAGCCTTTTCCAAAGCAGTTCTGGCTTCAGGCTAAAACATAATTATTACCATGACAGTAACAGTTAAGGCAAACTCTATTTCTTACCTTTAGAGTATTTCTAAACTGTTTCCTAACATGTTCACAAGGGTTCTGAAATTAGAGTAAGAAAATTAATTTATGTAAGACAGAATATTTCTCACAATTTTGAGACGATTTTTGACCCTTGCACATGCTACTTGAAGAAACCTCCACAAACCAATAACATGTTCTAATTTGCAATATTCCATTATCTAGGAGGTCATAGTGAGAATCCAATAAAAAATTAAAATAAACCACCTTCTTGCTTCTTATTTGTTCTTTCATGAGAAGATCTACTTCAATATATTCCTTCAACTTCATGGTTTTTGGAGCACTTTGCTTGCTTAAAAACTTCATTGCTACTTCTAAAACTTCACAAGTTCCAACTATTACTGGCACTGTCTTAAGATCAGATCTGAAGTCTGACTTCACTTTAAGTGGCAGCAGTGACTGTCAATTAAAACACAATATTAAAATAAAAGGTAAACTAAGCCTCTTACCTGTTTAATGTTCTTCGTAATCAGTGCAATTACTTGCCTTAACTTGACATAATTTTCAACTGTAGGAATATTTAGAGTATCAATGATGAATGGCTTGCCAAGTACATATTGCTGTACAATATCTTTCTCAAGATTATCCAGCATGTATTGAACCCCAATGGTACCAGATGAATTAGCAATGAAGGCACTGTGAGTTACGACTAATTCTCTGAGTTTATCAATATTGCAGTTAACAGCATGCAATGATGAATCCATTTCTCTTAAAGACACTTTATGTGCTTCCCACATCCACCGCCTAAAATTGAACCAATTTTTGTACACAATATATTGCTTTTTCAAAACTTACTTATTTAAGTTATGCTCCACAAACTTTCTACATAACATGATAAAATTGTTGTGAACTATAACAAGATGATCAACTAGAGCTGTACTTAGTACACCAGTGCCAGATGTTGTAGGAAGTAAAAATTTCATAAGAGTATCAGTAGTTATTTCTTCAACCTTGATAGCTTCAGTAATATTTAAGCGATCTGTTTAACAATTAAAAAATATTAAAAACAGTACTTGTGGCTAAAAACTAATTGGCCTTTTAACTTTACTTTTAAATTGAGTATTTACTTTTTACTGTACAACAGACCTGGGGTTAATTACAAACCCTTGATTACAATTACACATTTAATTACACTCCTTTCATAAAAACAGACTCAGTAAGAATAACAATTATATTAAGCCTCAATCACAACTATGTAATTTTAAACTGTAACTGAGCCTCTAATTACAATTACAATTACGTTGTAACTGTAATCAAGCCTCTAACTATTGTAAATTATCACAGGTTTGCTATACAATATATCTTTTATAGCAAATATGAGCAATATGGCAAAGCTCATTAGGTAAACAATTTATCTAGTAACCATGCCTTTTTTAATTCCCATGCACCTTTGGTAAAAGCTTGTAAAGTTAATACTAGTACTACATGTACATCATTTTAAAGTTTATTAATTTTGACAGGGCCCTGACTCATTGCTTGTATAAATGAAGCACTATGGTGCAATGGACTTGCCCACTGGAATTCACCTCAGTGATATGTGTTACTTGTATTGTGATATTTTAAGCAATTTGAAAAAATTATTATTATTGAATGCATAGTTATAATGATAATTAAAATAAGCTATGGGTGTGGTCAAGAACTAGCTAAATCATGGCACTACGGTAGGAGAAAGAAGAAAAGCTGAAATTTATTTTAGCATCTGAAGCTCTATTCAAAGAAAGAGTTGGCACAAAAAATTTTTCTAGATATTTAAAAGACACTGAGAGAGTTTGGTTGGTCCTGATTTCCCTAGTGATGTCTGAAAAATTTTCAAAGAGGCTAAATCACAAACTTTGAGCAACTGTAACTCACAAACAACAAAGTTAGGACAAAATTGTTCTTTTTGTTTTTTGTTAGATGGGATTTTCTACCTCTGAAGCAAATCTCAGCTCTGTAGAGTGAAACATGAGCTCTCACTCCCCTGGTTTAGCAGTTCACAGTTTTTGGTGCCACGGGATGCTACAAGAGCATAACTAGATGAAAGAAAGCAACTTTATCTGTTGCTAGAAGAAGAAATATACCGGTAGCTCTAAACTGCTAAGACAAAAAGATATATTTTTTACAAATCAATTAAACTGTGTGGACAGAATGACAACCCAACTGCTTATTACCCGCCTACGCAAGCGTGGCGAGTCCAAAAATGCAGTAAACATATAAAATAATTTTTCTTCAAAGTGGTAAAATTTTGATTTCATTAACTTTCTATTTTTAGTTGAGCATTACTAGAGACAGAAAGTAAGTGCTTACCATAATTATTTATTAGGCAGTGTCTACAAGAACTCCATGCCATGGTCAATGACTTGAACAATGCTTCATAATTTTCTTTCTCTTTATCATCTAAATGCACATGCATACGTCTGATGAACACATTGCTTTTTGAAATATATTACCTAAAAGTTGAACAAAATCCTTAAACCTTTTTTCTTCATCAACTTTATTTTGAGATAGCTTCTTTTGCAGAGCAATAATATCTGAGATGTATATTGTTGCATTTATGCAATTACTCTAAATATATTTGTAAATATATGAGCAATATACAATATAAATTTAAACCTCAGATATCAATGTGAAAAGGACAGGGTTAGTTTTTTTTTGTTGAAAAGTTATCAAGCCATGCCTAAGATATTCAAGAGTTGGTTCTGGATATACCTGCCACAAAAATGGATCAGCTTTTTTTCGGGCCACATATACTGAATCAAATAGAGCACTGTAGTCTGAAACAATAATCATGACATTGAAATTAAGATTATTATTACCAGTGTCTAAATGCAACATACTGATGCCCTTTAGTAAATGTGCTTCAAAATCCTATAATTCAAATGAATTAGTTACAAAATTATGTAGTCTACCTCCAAAACTGGTGCAATGAAAAACTGATGAAATAGTCTTTCCCATTGTTCCCGATCAGCAATGCAACGTAGTTGTATGACTGTTCTAGCAACTATACAAACACATAAAAAGAATTATGATCATCAAAACTTACTGTTCTGAGGTATCACAACTTGTAGACCTCTTTCATTAATTTTCTTTAAGACAAAATGAATTACAAAGGAGGCCTCTTCCATAGAACAACTAAGAGCTTTTGATAAGTCATTAATATCAGTTTCAATTTGAATCCAAAAATAGATCTTAGGATCATCAATTTTTCCATGAAGTAAATGTTCAACACTCTATTAATTATACACAACGTATCAAATATCAATAGTAACTTTCATTATGTACATGTACCTTTCCATCATGAGTTGCCCACAACAAAATGCAATGAATGATACACCTTATGATACTGTATGATATTCCATTAAGATATCCAAATGGAGGAGTCTCACAACCAATTGCCACTGGTACATAGCCAGTTGATGGAGGAATAGATCTGTAAAAGATAATAATAATGAGCTTAAATATTATTCATATTTACTGAGGATGAGCTGCTTGAGGTGACTGAATAATATTCCCACATTCTGGACAAGAGATATCAACCTATTATTTGTATACCTGTAAATTCATGTACCAAAGCTCATACCATTGTTGATGGAAACTTGTGGCCCATTGCACATTCTAAATAGCATTAAATATCAATTTTGATAATAAGCAATAAATAATACCTGGAAAAAGAGGCACTTCCATATTTACAGTACTAGCATTGGTATTGCAGGGCATTCCAGGCAACATACAACTCTATTAAAATTTAGTCATAATTATAAGCAAAAACATTGTTATACTTGAAGTGTGTTGGGTGATGTTAATAATGTGTGTATCATTGATATAAGAGGAGACTTCCAGTTAGCTTGTACTGTTAATACTGAGTGTATCAATAGTGTCCTGAATATGATGGTTTCAAAGGAGTCCTCTTTTGACACCTTTATTTCTGGTATTTTACTACAATTTTTTATAACAATTTCCTCAATACATTTTGAAATCTAAAAGTAAAATCAATATTAATGAATACATCAAAAGTCACTTACTTCAGGATAGCTATTAAAACGCTTGCATTGATTGATGAATTTATGAAGTGCCTTCATTTTCTAATTAAATATAATAGCAATAATGAAACGCAAGCATTACTTACATCAAAAGAAAGTTCATTAGATGGTGTTGAACTAACATAACTTAACTGGATACGATATTGAAAAGCCATTATCAAAGGCACCAAATTACTAGCACTAGTTGCCTATAAAATAACAATAATTAAAATTTAAAAAAATATGGACACTAGCATGCAGCACAAAATTAAAATTCTCACTATTTTGCAAAACATACATTATTGCAAACTCTTTCAAGGGCTTTGAAATCTCCAGTACTTGTAGTAGCTTCGGAAATAGCTTCATAAAATTCCTGATACTGTGGTTGGTATATAGCTCCATAATTTACAAAATGGCGTTCCTACAAAATAATTGGACAAGTAAAAGCATGGTTTTTTCAAACTTATACTTTCAAAAAGTCATCAATGTCTATATTGGAAGACAATACCCAACTGAATTGTTGAGGCTGCAACTCCATTAATTTATTAAGAGCAAAAATTCCATATCTTCTGACAACAAAACGTATCAAGAAAAACAAGGGGCCTGATTTTTCTGTGTCATCATTTAACTCTGGCTTGTGAAATACAGGGTCAACTTTATTATAAAAGTAGTCAACATCATCTGTGTTGTTTAATGACCTGTAATCTTTATCCGCAACTGTTCTAGCCAATACTTGACATGAATAAATTAATTGAGCAATAGCTAATAGACACTCAGGAGAAGACTTGTCCCCACTAGAAAAAGCTGAAACTAGTGTTTCATAGCTAGAATTTAGCAGATTATCAGTACAGTAAACTATTTCTGATGTTTTGGGTTTTCTTTTTTTATGTGTCTAAAGAATTACAAGCCAGTTATTATACAATTTATACATAAAGTACTCACTTCAAGTTTTAAATACGCAATGACAAGTGCGAAGAAGCTGTTAATAGATATTTTGGTCTGACTAGATGAAGAATCACCAATACAATCTTGGATTTTTAGCAAATGATCAGTAGCCATAGCAAAACTGCTAAAATACATTATAACTAACAGAGGAATACTAAAAACTTACTCTTGAGACAAAATGAGCTTGATAGTAAAAGAATATAGGAAGGGTAAAATCTCAGGGTGACGTTGAATATAAGTATGTAATTTTGGGATCTCAGGGGCAAAACTAAAAACACTAGCTACTAGAATTTCAAGTACTTCCTTATTGTCAGAGTCACAAAAGTTAAGCAGAACATTCACAAAGAAATTCCAACAGCTTTCTTTAATACTGACTTGCTTAGTCTTGTCACTACTAGAGTATCATACAAAACAACAGTAGAGGCTTAATTCACATATTTTTATAGCAAGCACAGAGCACAAAATTCCATCTATTGGTAGAAGACAATAAACACCAACTATATAAATTATACCAATGGTCAATTTACATACACAAAAAGCAAACTGTAGATACATGTGCACTGTATAGCTTCAAATTTTGCCAAAACGAAATTTTATCACAATTCTAATATCTTATTTGTCAAATTAATACTTTTCTTCTCATTTCTATTATAAATCTTCATACTACCCAAGTGTAGAGCAAAAATTTTGTTAATAAAAATTTGGAGCTACATTTTATACAGTCAACAGATATATTCAGTAATGCAAAAATATGAGACACCTACAGTGGGACTCACTGCAGCTGCTCTTGCATTTATGCACTACTAAAGCAATGGATCATGATGATAGAGATAATAACCATGATTCATGCATTGTTTTGAGTACATGTTCTGCACAAACTCAAGTCAAAAGAGCAATAAAAGCTAACACCTATTATGATGGCACAAATACTTTTGTCTTAAGAGATTTTATTTACTTAAGGGATCATGCATAAGCCACAGCAAAAAATTGTGCATTATAATAAGAAATGCAACAGCAGCTAAGATTGCATGTAAAATTTCCAAATATTAATAGAGGTATGGCTTTCTTGCCAATAAAATGGCTTTAGCATGACATGTGACTGAAGAAACTTAAGTTTTCCTTCTTACAAGTGGCTTATGATAAGCAATATGGCACAATACTGCTGCTTAGATACATTTAAAAGTGTTGAGAGAGTCTAGTACTGCTAGCCTATCACATTTCCGCCTCAACCCTTCATAAAGTTGGATGGCCAGGATGAAGTTTGGAGCATAAGTTGCTACCAAGTAAGAATTAAGAAATTACACACATAGTAATGAAATAGAAGGTAGTAATCTACAAGAAAATGGTTTCATCTATTTCAACAGTGTCAGCACAATCGCTGTATTTTGTAAAATTTTTCTCCCTTACTTTGCAACCTCCTTCTCCCTAGTGCTGCTCTTTAAACATTTTTAGCTGATAAATGAAGGCTTGGACTAGCTATGGAGACAGATCTATGAGTCTAGAGGACTCAGTTTCTTTTTTAAAAAGTTAAAAATCTCATTAAAATTCATGATCACAGATGGACAACCAAAGTACTTAATACTCGCCTATGCAGTGAGTCCAATAATAAAAAGGAACATATTTTACCAATGTAAAAAAGTACAATTATCTTCAATTGACTAGTATAGCACTAAAAAAGTAATCTTGGCTACAAAATGATTTAAATAAAATATTTTTTATGACCTGGGGGCGTAGCCCCCAGGTCGTCCTATAATTGATTTCACTGTCGCGCTATCCATATCTATTTATTTATTTGTATGTCCACACTTACATTTCTTCTATACACGTTGTATTGGAGAAATAACAAGGCCTTAGCAACCACCTGCCCATGTTACGTAAGTGGGTGTGGTCACGGCAAACAAAAATGGCGGTTTGCTCATGGGACAAAGTTACGAGCTTTCTAACAGTAAAAGAACATAGAGATACTGTCTAAAGTCTTTTCTGGAAACATTAGAAGGTAGAGAGAACCTTCATAAGTTGTAATAAGAACCCAGCTGCACTTACAAGGGGGTAAAAACAATTATAGGAATATTTTTACACTGTTACGCTTGTTATATAGACACTACTTACTATAAGTGAATTACAGTGTGTAAGTCTAACTTACATCTTCTTCATAACAAAATCTTCAACAGCAATCAGCAATGTTGAAACTGATTTTAAAATTTGTGGGCCTTGGTAGTCCTCTATTTTGTCTGAATACTATAATATACAAGTACATAAATCATATCAATTAATCAAGGTAAATTTACTTTGTCAAGACGTGTTGCAAATATAAGCAGGTCATCTTCATGATCAACAACAACATGTTCCATAAAAAGCTTCATAACACACAATCTTTGCCACTGTTTCCTAAACAAAAACATCAGTCAAATTAATACCTTAAAATGAAGAAATACTTGAGTTCATGGTAATTTTCTACATCAAGGTTGTTAAATACATTATCTATCACTGCTTGTAGTTGGTACATTTTCTGCATCCATCCTCTAAGAGCTGCAGTGCCTTTAAGAGGAACTTTCTCATCAAGATGAATACTGTTTAAAACTCCTTGGAGCACAACCACCATTAAAGACTAATGTATAAACATAATTAAAACACAAAATTATTTACACTTACTGATATATCACATATTGTTTCATTTCTATCAATGATAGCTCTAACAATGGTAGACATTTCAATAGCTAAATCCAAGAAACATTCAAAACATTCCTTAAAATTAAAATAAGCACAATGAATTTCAACTAGGATCTCAACAAAATTGCTTTCATCGCTGACAGCATCACAAGACATTGTCAACAGTACCTTGGCAACAAGCTATACAATTAATGCAATAGCATTACAACAAAAAATTACACTGACTTCACAATAATGTGTTGCATCTGATGATCTCAAAAGAAACACAAAATCACGAGCATAAAATGCTGCAAATTCCTTAAAAAGTGTTGGAGGAAGGCTTTTGAAGCACTCCTGCAACTCAATATATTGTAAAATATCTACAGAGCAACAATTACGATTATTGAATAATTAATAAACCTTCATCATCAATTTTTTTGTTGATATACTCGTATATTATCCATGAAAATGGGAATGAACATTGAAAAACTTTCGAATCCACTTTCTGATACTTTTGTGAAGCTACAATTTTGAACAAAGTACTTTGACACAACTCTTGTGAGCTATAAATATCCAGCCAAAGTTTGGAGAGAGATTTATTATTTTCATCAAGACAGTCAGGCTTTAGCAGCTGAAGGTTGGAATGCCTATCAATAAATCTGATTACTTGTATAAATAGTGGCTTCAAAGTTTTATCATATCTCCTTATCAGGACATTACTAAAACTGCCACCTTCTTGAAGATGTTGGAGATT